ATCTGTGGTCAATCATCAACCTGGATTTCCTTCATCATAATGTCAAACAAAATGTCAAACTCTGCCAGTGGCACAGCTCTGAAGAAAATTGAAAAATGGTTCAGAAGGTTCTCATAACACCAAATTATGACATTCAGTGTAGATGAGTGAAACCCCTTGTTTCCATACACACTAATGAGCTCTGAATGAGCTTTTATGTTCAAAGAGATCAACAAATTCAGGAGTCCTCAAAAATATCAGCTCAATAATAAAGAGCCCTAGAATAGAATAAATTATTAGGGAGGTATTGAGAGCAAAACAAAAACCATCAAAATGCCACTGTCACTCCATGATGCAATGACATTCTCATCAGTATAGTGGTTCTGGTCCATCCATCTGAAAAAGATTATGGTGGAACTGGAAAGCTATGGAGAAGGGCAAGAAAAATGGTCAAAGGTGTGGGATAGTTTCGATTCAGAGGACACCTACACAGAATTTCCCAGTCTAGGGGAAAGAAAAAAAAAATTAAGATTAAAAAAGGCTACAAAATAATTTTTTGTTTGGACATGGTGACTTGAGGACTGGTTACGCTCACCTCAAATAGTTAACAGAAAAATCTAACAGGCAAAAAAACCCAAACAAGGGGTATTAAACATAAAGATACTATGTCTTTTTCAGAGCTACTGTAGCTGGAAAATGAAAAGTACCAGTGCAGTCTTGTGTATGATCATTATGTCTTTGTACTCTTTTCTTGGCATCTACTATCAATCTCCATTCCGATTTCCTTCCCCATGTTGGTCTCTGCTGGATGCGATGATGGGCTGGAGGGATCTTCAGACTAATCCAGCACTGACTATTTCTGCTTTTATCTCTTGCTTTTGAAAGCAGTGCCATCTCCCTTCCCATCTGCCAGAAGCTCTCTTTGGACCATGCTGTAACTGCTCTATGCCTCCCACCTCCACAAGAGGACTGGTAGGGCTTTGCCAAATTCAGCCTCCGACTACGCCACTGGAAATCAGTCACAATTTGTCCACTCAAATCACACAACTGTAGGAAATTCAGGGTCACTTCCACACTGTGCAAAACAGTTTGGAAGCTGAATCTGTACGTCCTTGATGACAAGAATCTGCGGATTAACTCATTTTCTAGTATTTCTGCATACCTCCACCTCTTGCCAGGAAGAAACTGGACCTGATGGACTCCAGGGTACCCAGCTTCCAGGTGGCCTCTCGGGCAAAATGTCTAGGACAGACCTCTGGGAAGATCCATGTCCTCATACAGAAATGCCAGAGCTGTGGTGGGTTGTCGCCTAGCTGACAACACTTTGCACACGGATAGTTCTGTCCAGATGCTCCAAGTCACCAGGTTAGGCTGATGTTGGCAACTGGCCCAGTCTTGTCTTTGTTTCCCGATCTGTTCTGTCCAGCACTCACTGCCACCTTTGCTCTTTGGACCCAGAAATTCCTCAAAGGTCTTCCACTGACTCTTCCTGAATATTTGCTTGAAAATAATAATTTTAATTCATTGCCGAAATCCATGGCTTTCATATTGCTATGTACTTAACGCAGCACACGTGGGGTGTCACTGCAATGCCTTCTGCCACCCAAGGATGCACACAGCGATGGCTCCCAATAACTTTCACTCCTTGGGAGCACAGTCAGCATTCCCAGGACTTTAGTTTTTCTGTCACAATGAAATTCTTAACAGATCATAGGAGTTCAAGGATGAAGAGCGCAGAAGAACAAAATCTGTCTACACATGATGTATCTGGGTGAGGAGCAGTTCCAACAACCTACCAGGTCTTTGGCTGGTGGAAGTCCCTTTGCTCCTGCTGTTGGCGCAACTTTCCTACATCAGCACACCGAGTGGCTTCTCCTGGCTCTCAGTGATCCTTTCAACCTTGCACTGATGTTGTTCCAAGACAGACATCTCTTTCTCTTCCATAGATGGCTTGTCCTGTCTTTCTGAATTGCACCGAGTGTTTTCCATCACTAGATCCCAAGGAAATAGCCCATTCACTTTCTTCCACCAAATCCTACTGGTCACATTTCTTCAAAACCTTGCAGTGAGGATTCTTCTCCAAATTTTCAATATTTTATCATTGTCTCTAGAGAAAACTCAGGCTAAGGGACCACTTTGGTAGGGCAAAAGACGTACTGGAAGAAAGAAGGTGGTGTGTTGTAGAATGTCAAACCTGGGATTCTCCCAGTGAAAGGAGAGGATAAGTGAACTCAGCCTCATTAATTTATTTGGAGATGATTGGAAAATAGAGGAAAGACTTTTACTTTTTTCAGAAGACAATTAGGATAGGTGAGTGATGTCTGTTGGAAGAGTAACACCACAGGCGACTGCAGCACCAGATACAAGACGCAAGGCTGCTTCTATCTCCTTTCTGATTTCCATCCTGTCATATTCGATCTGGGTGGGATGGAGCGAACTTTCTTCATAGCAGCCCACGCAGTGCTGTGATTTGGATTTGTGTGAGAGACAGTGTTGGTAACACACCAGTGTTTTGGCTGTTGCTGAACAGCGCTTGCACATCAAGGTTTCCTCTTTTTCTCACTCTCCATCCCTCCCAGCAAGCAGGCAGGGGATGGACAAGAAGCTGGGAACGGACACAGCCACGACAGTCGCCCCAAACGATATACCCAAAGGTATATATTCCATAGCACATGATGTTATGCTCAATAAATAAAAGCTTAATGAAAAGAGGATGCAGGGATGTTTATGGTTAAAGTATTTGTCTTCCTAAGTAAACATTATGCATGCTGAGACCCCAGAAATGGCTAAACATCTCCCTGCTGATGGGACGCAGTAATTAAATTTATTTTGCTTTACCTGCATACAGCTTTTGCTTAACCTGCTAAACTGTCTTTATCTCAGTTCACAGCTCTTGCCTGCCTTCCGTTTTCTTCCCATCCTGCAGCAGAGGGAAGCAAGCAAGCAAGCAGTCGGGTAGGTGCTTGGCAGTTGGCTGGGGTCAACCCAACACATCCGCATATAGGCAGGGAATATTCCCACTTTTCACACAAAATTATTGCCTAAATTATTGCCTCCTCACTACTGCTTGTATTTGACAACTTACGCTTCTTCCGCACTTTCTGGAACAAGCACAGATGAGACAGCAAACAGACATCTTCCTCACTGGCATCATTGCTCAAAAAAAATAATCTCTCATAAATTAGCCTCCAATAAGGGACACACAGTAGCTGTGCACAAGCAACTCGGCCTCACTGTCAGGCTACGGGATGCAGGTCACTGGTCTAACCAACACAGTCTTTTCCTCAGGTGCTCAGCTGTCTTGCGTGTGCCCCTAGCTCTGTGATACATGCGCCACATGATAACATAGGTCATCAGGCCCAACTCATTCCCATCCTTCTCTCTGCTGTCATGAGGTGTCTGCTTCCTTACGCAGAATTCTGGGATTTCTGCCCCAAAACACTCACTCCATATACAGTGAACCCATGCCCACGATAATGTCACCCTTACGCGCCTGCTCTATCACAGGCAATTGCCTCTTATACAGTAATCTCAGTCACTAAAGAATTTAGTTCCATTATGTACCTTCCTTCTTCACCCACTGCTGCGTGTCTGGTGGATCATCTTCAACACTTGGTCTCTCTCAGGCTCTTTGGAGCAGGGACCATCTTTTTCTTCCCTTGCAGAAGGCTGTCCTGCCCCTCTAATCCACTTGAGTTTTTCACACTGTCAAGATGCATATTAATAAGGAACAAAGAGCTGATACAGTCTACTAGGCTAGCTGATACAGTCTACTAGGCTCTCCAAAGTTGTATTTCCACGGCAACATCCTTTGCTAAATCAATACATACACTAGGCACACACTCGATAATAAGAGAAAAACCTTGGAGACGAGAATTTCATTAAAATACATAAAATAAGAATAGTAGCAAATAGTCTCTCATGAACAGAACTCAGCAATGGAGTTCTACAGGCATCATCGATGTCGAACATAACCATGAATGGGCAAGAAAAAAACAATGACAAGTTCTGTTGGTAAACCAGTTATTCATGGCTGTGCCAATAAAGACTGAAGAACTGCAGAAGGGCCTTACAAAGGGTCAACAACATGGACAACAGAGGGTAGTGAAAGGCTTCCATATCACATAGGATAGAATATGCTGGGAAAATACACCACAAAGATCTATATATCCACATACACAAAATAGCATCAAATGAAGGCAGCAAGAGACATGTTCAAATAACAACTGAGCAAACTAATGGAAAAGATATTCATCATGAATTATTAAAGATACCAGCCCTGCATAAAGAAATGCCTTTTTTGCTTCAACAAAAAAAAAAAAAATACACCCCCTTCCCCCCCTGCCCCCCAAATAACCCGACAACCAAACTTCAGCATGGCACAGCTAGCAAAGGCCTTATAAAGGCTTACAATAATAACGGTAAGAGACATATCTAGATAATTGTCAGCAGGGGCTTCTACTGCTTCCATCTTCACATCTGGTATTTGAATAAATATCTCCATTATTACTGCTTAAAGTCTAATTCCCAGATCACTTAAATAACATTTATTAAACACTGAATGTTGACTTTTTATGACAATTGACAGGCCCCAGGAATTCACAAAAGTTGTCATGCGCTATAAAACATTAGGAAAACAAAAAAAAATATCTACAATCGGAGTTTGCAATTTACAAGCAGTTTCCAAGAGACAGGCCATGGAATTCCGAAGTGGGAATGTTTATTTGCTAGGACTAATACTGAAACCCCTCAGTTAAAAACATAGAGAACACACTAATAAAATGTCTATCATCTGCATTCTTTGACACCTATAATGTCTCAGAAGCAGAATTTAATGATCCGAGTCTTTTATTTCTGGTATTTAACAAGAAACCTATATTTTTTTATAAATACACACATACTTTAAATCTTATTAAGATCTTCCATCTACCAGAAATCTTCACTTTCGTTTAAACGAGGAATTTCTTCTTGAAGTCAACGAAATTAAGATGATTATGGTCCAGATCACCAGCTTCAGTATTTCAGCTTTGCTGCATTTTTCTACGCATCTCTTCAAGCGCTGCTTCTCGTTCTCTTAAGAGCTGCTTGAGTCGTTTTATTTTTTCATCCCGTATTGTTTCATCCAAGTCTGGGGGAGTCAAAGGGAAAGCATCATCTCTGAAAGAACCTTCGAGAACTGAAGTACCATCTTCAGAAGACACTAAAACTGGAATACTTGAGTCTGTAACGTCACTATATTGAGAGTATGGATCTTGCTCAGAGTCCCCCCCTAGAGAAGATGTAACAACGTCTGTGGAAATACTTTGCTGTGATAGGACAGGTGGAGGTGAAACACTTCTGTTAAGTACACTGGAACTTGAGCTGGTGTTTTCTGAACTTGGACTTGTGGTTGATTTGACTGACAATTTCCTTCTCTTTCCACTGTCTGACAGTGCTGAGGATTTTATTTTCTTTTTCTGGGTCAAATCCTCTTCCAGATCCACAATTATCTGTACAGTGAAGAAACATAAAAAATATACTTCTGTTAAATTGAGCATCATTCTACATTGTAACATCACAGCTCATTAAGCACAAATTACAAGTTATTTGTTGCAAGCTCCTTAGAATTACTATCTGGAAAATGTTTCTTTTAGCAACTTGAGCAAACATACTTCCATGTTCAGTATTTTTGTAGCAAAAATTCCCAATTAACAATTCCAGAACATTGAATGCCTTCCTTAGTCAACAGTGCACTTCTGCCTTTCCCATGCATACCTATAATCTCCTGTTCCTGATTAAGTTTTTTTAACTGTGGTATAAGACAAAAACTTTCTGTCTAACTTGATGGGAAAATGCAAAACATAGAAGAATTCTTCATGCTTACATTTCTAAAAAGCTCAAACATTATCAATAATGTCCATTACAAGACTGCATTCCTCTCAGCTGTTTTGTTAATTAAATGTTAATGTACTTTACTAAGAGCAGCCAGTGGATCTGCTCAAAGCAGGGCTCAACACAGAATTATGAAAACCTGAGAAAGCCTTTGACGGGGTAGAGTAGAATCATACAAAAGAAAATTCAGAATACTATGGCTGAACAGAACTACATTGGATGGATGAAATAATTTTAATGCACTAAGATGGAAGTCCTTACATCAGGGGAACCTTTCCAGAAGCACCCAAGCAAGTTCCTAGCCAATGACAAAGGACTAAGTTTATAAAGACATTCGTAACTCTAAAGATTAGACAGGTACACAGGTAAATTTATTTTAATGAAGCCACATATGACTAACTGGATACCTATCTTTGGAAGTCAGACACACCCAGTCACGTGAGTGACTCAAGTGCCTTGAAATAATGGCACTTGACTGATTTCACACTCAAAGACAAAGCCTCACAAGAATTTATTCTTCTATTATTCTGATTATATCCATTGCACTACTAGATAAACATAATTGTTTGCAGAAGGGTAAATATAAAACAAGATATAGAGGTATGGTTTCTATTCCAATACACACTATCCCTTTGACTGTTCAGCCACCACTAGAGGGTCCAGTCTTCTTCAAAGTATTTCTGCAAATTTCCTCCAATAGAACCCAGAAAAGAGGATAAAAATTCTTAGATGGTATTCAAGTCATACTGAACTCGCACAACTCCGTTGCAGTTCACAAACAAGTTGTAGGAACTATTCTCACAGGGACCATGACAATTACTGACTTGCCCTGATGAATCCAGAGGTAGGAGGATCCAAACAAGCTCTGTATTGACCGTACACACGCTGCTTTCTGAACGTGTTGCAGTACACATTGTAGCACTGAAAAATTTCAAGGTACCTTTTCTGCTTTAACGCATTCCTGATGTTGATTTGTTATTTCCACATCTAATGATGATGAACTGCAAGAATAATTTCTCCTTTTCAAGCTGTTACTGGAACAAACCCTTTCTTCTGGTTTCTCCCAGGAGGTCTTTAATGGTATTCTCCTAAGGTACACTCTCTCCTCCTTAGAGAGACCAAATTTTTTCCTTAATTCCAAGTATTGTTTCCAATATGGCTCCTCCTGGTGTTTGATTTGAATAACCTTTCCTGGTGAATCCATCTGGATCTGAAATATAGAAACAGTGAGAGAGCCATCAATCACTCTCTTTCACTCTCTCTTTCTCCCTCCACACATATAAACTAAAAACTAGTTAACTAGAAAGACAGGCGAATATTTTTGTCTGCCGTTCTCCAAGAGTTACGTTTAATACAAGTAAGCCAATTTTGATAAATTATATACCTATTATCATAGGTCTAACACTCATTAGTTATTTACAACCCCAAGTACATTGTGCAACATCCAGAAAATGCACAGTCCAACTAGTAAACCACAGAAGTAAAAGAAGCAACAAGGGAAATACCTACTCTAAAACTTCAAAGTAACAAAGGAAGATGATGGAAGATCAGACAGTGTCTTTCCAGTGTCACTTTCGGACTGCTGAATGCATTTCACATTTGCATTGTGGTTGATAATACTAACAAAGCACTATTAGCTATCTAATATGATGATGTAACATGAGGTATCTAACGTCATTGTAACCTGAGCTGTTTCTGATCTTCAGAAGTTCAATCTCACACCACTACTTCCGGCAATCCATGGGCTTGCAAATTTACAGACTAAAAGCAGCAAACCTTTGATATGCTATTTTTCACAGAGGTTAAAGCAAATGAGAATGCTAACGCTTGCATCGCATAGCACTGAAATAAAACCAAAAAGTCTATTTTAACCATTTTTCACGTGAGGACCAATGAAAAAAAAGACCCCTACAGTCTGTTGCAATGATTAAATGTCTAAAATTCGCACAAATATGCTTAGCTGATATTTCTCTTCTGCCTGGTCAAGTATAAACTAGCTTCAGAATTTTTTTTTTTTTTATCTGCAGGCAAATTCATTCTGGCCTCTTGAGCAACGGAAAACTTGACCTGCAGTCCTTCATGGGAAGAGGTTGTGGGATTTGGGGGCTAAGGACTTTTTACATATTTTTGACGTTATGATCTTAAAAGAATATGTAGGTCCAACCTGAAGGAGGAAAGCCATTAAAGTTCTCAAGAGTTTCTTCTGCCTGACATGAAACCATGAGGCAAAGGAGGTGGATCCCTCCCCATCATGGCATGAAAAGAAGGAAACACAGCTCCTGCCTTCGGCTGCCTGAGCTAGCGGAGACTGCAGCCGACTTAGTGCACCACCAGAGTTTATCTCTGGATGACAAAACCTGCTCTTCCATCTTGTTTTTGTCCTTTGTAGCTGCAAACTTGTCTATCTCACATCATACCTACAACACAGTCAATGGCTGTGCTGTGAGTATGTAGCATCACCATTAGAAAGCAGGCAGCTCCCAGAGCTCAATGAACAACCTTCCTATAGTTCCAGTTGTTACTGAGAATTTATCTTATGAGGGGGGGAAAAAAAGAAAAAAATCATCTTCTCCCTGCTGCTCCTTTCTTTTCTTTATGCATTTTCTTTTTCTTTATGCATTTTCTCACTTGCATAGAGCAATCTTATAGAAAAAAAAAATATCCTTTATTGATTATAACCACACTTTAGACCAGCATTTCCAGTGACAGGATACCTGGCTACAAAAATCTGTAAATTTATTAATAGCTATTTTATTCAGATAGAACCAGGGCCATTTAACAATTTAGCAGAAACTGAGAGGGGAATGTTTATTGGAGAGAGTTACCTTTTGACAGTCTTCACTGAAAGAACTCTCTTGCTTAGACTGAGGTAAAACAGCACTTGCTGCTTTGGGGGAATGAATCCTTTCTTTGCCATTTTGGCATACATTTTCCTGAGTCCCTACTGCTGTAACAGGGGTCACTCCACTTGAAATGCTCTCGGTGAAGGGCAAACCCTTTCTCTGGCTTACAGTGGAATTCTGCTGATCAGCACTTCGTGTCACCAGAGCAGCAGGTGCAGACTTTAAGTCACTTCTTAAGTCAGCTGGTGAAGAATTTTTTTGAGATGTTTTCGGTTCTTTCTGAGACAGCACCATTCCTTTGTTTTTTGACAATACCAGATTCACTACTTTGTTGGTTATTTTATTGACTGCAGTAGAGTCAATTAGCTTGGATGTCTCCTTTTTAAGTGAAGCATCAGAAGAGGAAGATTGTTGTTTGTCAGCTTGGGCTGATAGAACATCAGAGCCTCTTTTGGTCAACAAATAGACTTTCCCATTGTACAGGACCAGAGCATTATCTTTAATAGATGTGATTTTTGTTTGACTTCCACCAGGACCACTAGAACAGGGTGGTAAAATATTTGCAGAGTTAACTTCTACATCCTTCATGTCGGACCAAGTTTTCAAGATCTTGGAAGCTACATTATTTGATGACTTTACAGGAATAAGGCAAGGCGTTGATGACTGTGGACTTTCTTGCACAATCCATTTCATCGGAGTTTGCTGACCATCTGATGTTACTGTCTCAGGAGAAGAACTACTTGCCATTTGTGCAGCTGTCATTATTAATGTTTTTGAAACTTCTGTGGCAGGTTTTGGGCAAATGCTTTGAAAAGTCTTGGGATGTACTGTTTTCACTGTTTTTACTGGTGACACGTAAATAACAGTTGGCATTTTTGTACTGTCAGCTCCTCCAGCCACGTTTGTTGCTGCAGCTGCAAGTATTTTTTGCTGTATTGCAGGTGGTAAAAAAGAAGCTGGGACAGATTTAACTTCTGCATCAGCTGGTATCTGGAGGTGATGGCCAGAAGGCAGTACTGAAGGCTTCACAGTAACTGGAAGACTGTGTGTGTTTACCAACATGTATGCGGTGTTACGCTGGTCAGATGAACTTGTTACAGCAATGTTCTGCAAAGACAGTCTATCAACTGAAATACAACTGTTCTGGATGGTAGCAGCTGATTTTGGAATTGAGCTTTCTTTTTCAGAACCTGCCCTAACACTTCCCTGTTTGTCTAATGTCGTTGTAAGAATAATCTTTCCAGGATGAGTTATCTTAACAGATGAAGGTGCAGTAGTATTGGCAAGCTGTGTCTTAAAAGTAAGATGGACTGGACTAGGAATATTCGCTTTAGAATTATTTGGCATGGCCGAAGATTGAACTATTGGCACAAAGGTTCCAGAAGATTTAGAAATTGGAAGTAATTTCAGAAGGTTTTTTCCATCTGGTCCCGTCGTCTGAACTACTCGGTACATACAGCCTGCAATGCTTAACAAAACAAAGAAAAGAGAAAAGAAAAAGAAAAACGAAAGACACTGTAAGTGAACACTGCACAGATATTTTAATTAATGTGCATCAGTGAATTGTATACCCAGTGCTGCTATGCCTTAGAAGCAGACTAACTACTGAAAAATGCCAGATCTAATCTTCAGGAACGTCCTTGCCAAAAATCACACTCATCTACGCAGTGTACATGTTGGGTTAGCATTTCAGAACACCACAGGCTATCTGAAAATAATGTCCAACTTTTACACCACAGAGGAGCAAGAAAAGGCATCCTTTTCAGATAAAAATAAGTTAAAAGACCCAAGAAAACACCTTACATTATGTTCCTCTTCTACTCACAAGGCCTTTCATTCTGAAAAAAAAAACCCTTATCTCCAGATTTCACAGAGAAGCCATATTTTTTGCTTTCCCATTTCTCTGTTACTATTAATATCCCTATTTAGTCCTATGAAGTATGAATTTCAGGAAAGCTTCAGAAAAATACAGGCAGATTAGTTGCATGGCAAGACAGAAGCAGAAACTACTTCAGACACATACATGCAAAAAAGAAATTAAGATGCAGAATACACTTATTTTGTGGAGCAGGATGTAGGGTGACCAAGTCATACGCCTGCATCTCTCACCTTCCTGCTCATTCTTTAGGCAGATATAGACTACAAGGGTGGTCATCTTCAAAGAGAAGGAAAAAAAAAAACCCAAACCTCAAATGCTATCAAGGTACATACATTTATGAGAACAGAAGTCTAAGTCTAGGAAGGAAGAGGCTTCAAAAATAAGGACTACATGGAAACAGCACCAATGAAATCTGAAGAGTAAATGCAGATTTTTTGCAGGTGAAGATAGGAACTCAACCAGTAAACAGACAGACAGAACCTTGTCAAATCAAAAGTTAGTTGTGCCTGCTTCAAATGCCAAGATTTTTCAAGTCCATTGCAAGACAGAGAACCTTTCCCACTTCAAGTGAGTTAGCCCAAATGCGGGCATGTTCCCCAAAGCACTCTTGGACTTTCAGAAGAACAATCTAATGCACAAAACACTGCAGAAGCAACATGGCATGTTGAGACATACATGATAAAAACAAGAGGCTCCCTCACTAGTAAAGAGACCAAATGACCTGGAAGTAGGTTTAATGGTCTTGACATCAGATCCAGAATGCCTAAAAGGCAAAGTTGCCAACTCCACTTTCAGTCACCAAGAGCATTCTAGCTCTGTCCCACTGACTTTCTACATCAATAAATGCATTGAGAACATGGACATGAGATTATCTCCCAGCCCAGATGACATCAGTATTGTGTTCTGTTTACTGTCAAGTAGTTTTGAAACACTGTCACCTTTTCCGGCAAGTGAAACGTTACATTTTGGGCTTCCAACTCAGCTTGGAACAGAATGACTAGGAGATATCATTCATTCGTCCCACCGTTGTATCTGCTGAAGAAGTCAGTCAAGCCATTGCATTTTCCCATCAAGTGAGAAGCCCCAAGGATGCTCTTCACTCCCAGTGTTGGACAGTTCCTGCTACAGTCTGAGGGGTCACATTCCCCGTGGTGGTCACATAAATAACCACGCTATCATCTGTCTAAAACATAAAGGCTTTAGACACGCAGAGCTTTCCTCGCTGTAACCTTAACTCCCACATCCAGCATTTTGGTACAATGCCTCATTTCTAGGCATACTGTGTGAAAAACCAGACATTTACGTGATCTATCAGTGTAGTGGGCAGGAAATTCTGCAATATTTTTGTTTTTAAAAAAAGTACTGAAAATGAAAAGATGGGAAATCTACCACATGGTTTCTAGTGAAAGCTGCCATCAGAGGTTTTAGCAGTAAAATGGAATTGGATGTTTTGGAATCAGAACTGGTACTTGAGAAGGACTAGCATTAAAAGTAATGATCTTACTGAAATATTTTTTGTTTAAACAAAGAGCAAGTAGAAATATTTGTAAATTTGAATTAATTCAAGCAGAAAAGACCCACTTTTGGGGCCTCTCTAAACCTCCTAGCACTACTGATACTCCAGAATTAGAAAGATCAGCACCGAGCTCCTGGACAGCTTCTTGCATCTGTATGTGTTACATGCTTTGGGTCTCTCAATGCTTCTTTAACAACCTTGTGATCTACAGTCTCAACATCTCTTCTCTACATAAGAATTAATATTCTGAAAGTAAATTCAGGAGGAAATTTTCAGCAAGTTCCACAGACATGGAATTGCTGAACCACTACAGCTTGAACTGAGCAAACAGGCCCTTACTTCCACTCAAACTAACTAGCACTGCCAACAGGTATCAAAGGGCACAAGAAACCTCCAAAAAGGCACATTCCTCCGGCTGTCAAAGCAAGGGATGCCTCTAACTTTTGGGCAAGAGGATGAGAAGCAGATCAGAGAGAAAGGGAGCAAGAAAAACAGAGCAAGAAAGAGAGATGAGATAGAGGATGCATTTGCAAGAATATTTTCTTCAGCAGCAAGGCTGGTTTCCAGTGCCCACGTCCTCTCTTCTCGTTTCTACCTTGAGTCGCTGTTCACCTCTCTTTTGATGGACTTAAAAAACCTGGTTTCGACACTGTGCTACGAACAGGATCTTTTAAGTAGGCTGAGGAAGAAAACTCCTTTTAAAAATGCAGTTTGTCTGAACTCCAGATCATTCTGCTTTTCACGATTACAGAAGACAACCGCAGCTTTTTATCTTCCCGCTCCTCTCCATGTGTGGAGCAAGAAACCCCAAAATTACAGTTTTCCAGAAAATAATCTTCTTTTACTTGAAACAAATAGCAGGTACTTACAGGATTGCAGAATTACAAAAAGCTAAAAGATAGACCGGAAAGAAGGAAATTAAATGTTCAGACAAGATACTGAGAAGTTGTATTCACACATATTTACTCAAACATCTACGAAAGAGGAAGAAAAGGTGTCATTGTCAAAGTTCTTAGGTGCTTTTGCTATTTCAGATATAAGTTGAAAATGCTTCACCATATCTATCTCACATCGCTAAAGACTTTTTTCAGGTGATATAAAGGAATAACCAGGACTGCCGTTTCATGTTACCAAAATAAAATAAAGCTTTTTCAACTTCTTCGTACATTATTGAGTGGTGAAGAGGAGAGCTAGAAGCTATTTTTCTTCACTCTGTAGGCCATTGTTTCTTTGAAGAATATATTTTAAGAAGCCCTTAAGCAGAGTGAAAAAAAAAATCTTTCCATCAGTATAATTTCTTTTCCTAAGCAAACTAATAATAGGAATTCTGTAAATCATGCCAAGATGTACTTGGGGATTTTTTGCATAACTACTGAAGTAGAGTCTTCTTCCTCCTCTTCATCCTCCTTCCCTTCCCTATCCCACAGACATAAACTTCCTCAACTCACAATAACACTTAGAATTGTTTCTGTTTAGCTTTAGCACAGCCCCAACACCTGAATATAAGGCAGATCCCTGAACAGAGCTTGAGGACAATAAGCTCATGGAAGGAAAAAAAAAGTGGTGGACTGGTTAAAATCTTATCTAATGCCACCATAGAAACTACCAAATTCATGTAGTTGACTTTCTTTAAAGAAAAATAAAAATCTGTGACATTCACAGAGGAAAGCGTCAACTAGATGACATTTTTCTTGACCAAAAAAGGTCATTATTTCTTTAGGTAAATAGTCTGCAGGGCAATATTGGAAGCTTCCAGTCAACAACGGGAATGGCATTAAGTAAGCTGTGAAAGCAGAGATAACAGAAAGAAACAGGAAGATTTATTTATTTATTTCTATCAAGCTAGAAAAACAAAAAGAATAGCCTATGCTTCCCTCAGCTGAAAGAGAATTCCTGCTTTCTTCACTCATATGATCAGGCACACCAACTTCATTGTTTAAGTTCTAATCCCAAATTGTTTATTACTCTTATTAAGCAGCAGGCTCAAATTACAAAATAATGAGTATTTAAAAATTCACCTTCTCTCCCTAATTTTTGCATTAACAAAATTACCCTCAGAATATTTTCAGTAAATAAAACCGCTCATCAAAGCCATTGCAACCAAGGCAACCCAACACATTGCTGCAACAGAAATCACAATCATGCCAACTAAAAAAATGTATCAGTTGAGATAAAAAAGACAGAAAAGACTTGCTCAAACTTCAATTATACTTCAAAGTTGTCAGAGGAAACATTCCCTTTTGGCAGAAGCACGCTACTTTTCAGTCTCCTTTTACTCACAACTATTATTTTAGAGACAACTTTCATCTTCTATGAATATGAACAAACCAAACAGGGACAAAAAGCCACTACAAACTTCAGGGAACCAACTTCCTTTATTTTAATGGGTTAAGTTGAATCCAAGAAGTGGCAAAATAACATTTATTATAAATTGGAAGCACAAACCTAGGGACAAAGCTAAATTATTTGATTCTAGTCTGTGTTTATTTTATATAGCCGCATCCCATCCACATACTAGTTGAATATTGTAATAAAATATTTTTATTATTATTATTATTATCTGAAGGAAATCTGGAAATTGATGTTGAGTGTGCATATAAAGCTAGGAATCCTGTCCAGAGTTTAGGTCTAAGCCATGCCTAATGGCTTGGGGCTTTATCGTAATCCAGAAGCTTTCAACAATGGCAGAAGACCCATTTTCTGTTTGACTGTGATTTTGCATGGCAACACTTTCACCCACTGTGGAATAGTCCTTGGAGTATGGATAATTAATTTAGGATGTGCTAACTGCCGGGAAATGGTCTCTCTGCTTTATTATAAACCACAGCTCTACCGATCAACAACCAGCTCCTCCTTCAGCCATAAAACCTTTGGAGAACCGTGGAGAACGCCAACAGCACCGAAGCTACAGCACACAGCCACAGCAACCCTGCGGCTCTAACAAGCAAACCCGCAACTCTTCATCAAATAGATGCAGCAGAGAACTCCAGAGAGACAAGCAAAATGCATCAAGAGCCAAACGCCCCCCGCCCCCTGCGGCCCTCCTGCCAGTTTAAAGCAGGAACA